ATTGAATGGTAATTTATAATCAGTCACAAGAACGTCGAATCTGAATCACTTGAAAAAAACACGGGGGTGCTTAACTTTTTTCAGGTGTATATATATATTATTTTGAAAATAAGTGAAGTGCTTGCTGTTTATCGTTGAATTTATCTCTAACAAGTCGCAGACACCTACTGTAGAAGAATCCTAAACCCAACAACAACAACATAGTATATATTTATATAACTAAAGCCTTTTATTTTGACAATTGGCAAAGATCAGATTTTTAAATTCTGACACAGGTTACTCATGAACTTCATGATGAACTTTTGTTTAGTAACTTGTAAAAATCTGTTTTTCTATTTTTTGTATGGAACTCTGTAAAAGACCCTAAAACACTTCTAAAAAGGTAAGGAGGTTATACTTGAATGTCAAGGAGTGTACACTTATCTTTTGTAGGTATCAAAGTTATTTGTTGTAATAGGACTTAAGGCTGTCATGTACTGTAAATTTATTGTTAAAAATGTATCATTGGAAAATACAATTCAGCAAATACTGATGATGTTCAAAAGGTGCATAGTTTTATTTACAATTAATCTTGCTACTAGTCAAAATGTAGCTTTTGTGCAGTCAAAATTAGAACTATGGTTTTTGATTAAAAGTTTTCTAAAGATAAATTATCAGAACAGTATTTGCTTTACTTGCAAAAGATTTATGGTTTAAGTAACTTTAAACTTTTTCTTATTTAAAAAAAAGTTAAAACCATTATAAATAGTGAAGTTGGTATGTTAACAAATTCAGAAATTCTTTTTACAAAATTTTCAGAAAAACTCAATATAAAAAGCTTAACTTACAGTTTAAATAAAATATATGATCAGATAATTTAATCTAAATTCAGTATGAAGGAATAATGTAGTTTTAGAGAAATTTAAATAACATTTTATTGTTAACACAAATTATGACTAATGTGAACCTAAAGTTACTCATTTTGAAGTAAATAAATGGTTATTACTATTTAAATATTATGTCTTTTAGTGTCTGGAACAAATTGTAATTTTTTCTTTTTTAAGTATGAAAATACAAAGTTATTAAACTGAAATCTTAAAAAATCTTGCAATTTATGTATAGATGCTTTGGTTCATGTGCTTATCATGATTTTAGGAAGACTGTAACAAGGTGATTGGATCAGAATATTCAGAGAGCACTAAATATGCAATGTCCCAGCTTAGTGAGAAAGAAATGAGCTTTGAACTTATTGAGGTTGGTTATACTTGCCTTTTGGTAAGTTTTTGTTATTTGCAAAATTATCTATGTTATATGCTCTCCCATAGTAACCCTTTTATTGTTAAATAGATTAAGCAATTTTGGCTAACAAGTGATACTTTTTACTATTATTACTACTTTTATTATTTACACACCATATTTTCTACTGGAGTTTTTTGTTCCTCAATATTAAAGTGGGGTGTTGTTCTTTGAGTTGTTTTTTTTCTGCCTAGTTGATTGAAAATATTTATATGCATTGTATATGTATGTGACTTTTTTTTTCATTGTTACTTTTCAATACATGTTGGTGTTTTTACTACAGGCTCTTCTGCTGTACATCAAAAACCTTGAGGTACCAGGAGCGGTGTTGATATTTTTACCAGGATGGAACTTGATCTTTGCTTTGATGAAACATCTTGAGCAGCATCCTGTTTTTGGTAGCAATGGCTACATTATCCTGCCTCTCCATTCACAACTGCCTCGAGAAGACCAACATCGTGTGTTTGAAAATGTTCAGCCTGGAATCACCAAGGTTGAAAAACTAACATTTATCAGAAATGTTCTTTATTTTCAGAAATATAAGTACTGGCAGTATTGAGTGGAAAAGAAAAAAAGAAATTATAAGTTTGAAGGTTTTAACATTTTAAATAATTAGTTGCAATGTAATTTGTGTCTATGTAATAGAAATATTTTAAAATAATTGGCAAAGTACAAAGTTATTTATTTCCATATATTTATGAATTATTTTTTCATTGTTGCAAAACTATGATGTACTATGTGTTTGCGTGTGTGTCCAGAGAGAGGGGATCAAAATAATTTTACTTTGAAGTAATATAGGTATGGTATTATTAAATAAATTGTTTTTTAATGTTAGAAAACAGTAATCAATTTTCAATCACAATAACTTGCATGCTTTGTTTTCCATATATTAACACTAAAAATGAAAATGTTAAGTATGATGTATAACTGAAATATTCTGTTTGTTTGTAGTTACTGTTAAATCCCTATCTTCAAGTCAGTGGGAAGATAAAATATGGCAATATATATTTTATTGTGAAGTAATATAGTTATTTTATTATTTAAAAACAATTGTTTTCTAATATAAGAAATCACTGGTAATTAATGTTTAGCCATGCTAATTTGTTTGCTATATGTTTATCGAATACTGAAACTCAAAATGTGGACATTAAAAAATTGTATTGCATTGTCTTATATTTAAGTGTTATTTCTCCTTTTTTTATATATTGACCTAAATTATTGTAAGTACATTATGAATATTTTGTCAATGGTTTGTTAAATTTGTAAATCTAAAATTAAATTACTGTAATACACATTTTTAACATAGGGTTTCTTTCTTTACTAGTTGTGTATAACTTAAAAATATTCTAAGACATATATTATGTATATTAACTAGTTTTTTCATACACTCATGTATGTGTGTGTATATATATATATATATTTATTTATTTAACAAACTTGGACATATTTATGGGCTATCCAAATACAAATCAAAGAACAATAATGAAATTGGCTCTAATCCAAAATTGTTTTGAAAATGTTGCAAAAAGTGTTGAATGTTATTAAATTTTAAATGAGACTAAAATTGGAAGATTAAAAATAATGTTACTGTTATATAAACCACTAATTGCATTTCATTAATACAGGCTGTCAATTTTAAGTATGAAATTTAATAGTGTATTTTTATAGATATTAAACCATTTTTTTCCATGCAATTTTTAAAGAGATTGATTACATTATTAGCTTAATAATTTTCTATATTCTCTTATTCAAGGTAATCCTTTCCACAAATATTGCTGAGACTAGTATCACTATTAATGATGTTGTCTTTGTCATTGACTCCTGCAAGTAAGTATTTCCTGCAGTAGTATAAAATAATGGTTTGTTAAAATGATAATTAAAACAGAAACTGGCCAATTTATTAGGACCTTCCATATGCATATATCCATGTGTAGGGAACTTATTTTATTTTTTATAGGAAATGTAGAATTGTCATATCACTGGTGTAGTGATTTTTTTAGTTTAATAATGTCTGCAAGATAATAGGTTACAGCAAGGAACTTTTGGACTTTCAGAGGGACATTATAATTGATGCTGATCTAAATGGAATGGAGTATCACTGTCTTAGGCTATTTCTGTAGCTGTTCATTGGCATTTATCATCAGAATCATGAAAATGAAACCTTAAAAAAAAGAATTAGGTTATCATCAGAAAAATTGGCTATTAACTGTTGGTTATTGACAGGCTTAAAAAGTACACAGACATCAAATTCTGTCCCAGTTGATCAATGCTTTCAGCAGTGGTCATAATTCAGCTACTTCCAACTATACTACATGAAAGATGGTTCAAAAGCATTTACATTATAGCTGACAACCAGTTTTGGATACAAACAGGAAATATTGGTTTTAGTGGGATTAAAATAAAGGGTTGCATTTGTCCTAATCGTTCTAATTTTCTTTGTTTTAGATTTCAAACAATTCAAAATTGTACCTAAAATAAGTAGATGTTTCCCTTAACTCTTTCCATATGGCATCCTTTTCTGTGCATATCATGAGTTTTTACCAAGTTACATTCAAAATTTAATTAAACTATTTTATTATCATGATATATGAATAAACTTGGCATTCAAATGTAGCTAATAATCCAAGGTTTAACGTTATATAAGTTTTAAGTTCTCGATTAAGACAATATTTAAAAAAATTCTCAATTTCCCCTAGTATGAAAATTGTGACATTTGCTCTCTAGATATCTTCTCTTCTCTAATTTATTTACCACCTCTCCAAGAAGTATAGAATTTAACTGTTTCAACCCGGGCTCTGTCCCCGGGATTGACCTCATAACCGTTTTGTGCTTGTTATAGTTTTCATACTATAACTTTTAAACTAGTAAGCAAATGTTAATGAAATTTGGCAGTTTATCAGT